CCCCGTTCGCTCAGTTGTCTCTGTCTGACTTGCAATCAATCACTATTCCTTACTCGCTATTTTCACCTAAAACAGCCGTCGGGCGTGCAGCCGTGTGTAGCACAGTCACAGCCATCAGCATGCATGTGCATGCCCGCACCTCTGTGTGTGTGGTGTGGTCAGTCAGTCGTGTGCCTGCCTCCCTGTCCTCGAGTAAGTCATGCAGCTACGCTCACGCACATACCCACATCAAGCCAAACCATCCATCCATCAGTCAGTTTGTCTGTCTGTCTGTCTGCTTGCGGCTATGCGGCTGCTCTGTCCCTGGCAATACCCACCTCCCTGCCCTCGAGTCAGTCGTGCAGCTACGCTCACGCACATACCCACATCAAGCCAAACCATCCATCCATCAGTCAGTTTGCCTGTCTGTCTGTCTGTCAGTCTGCAGCTAAACGGCTGTTCGGTCCCTGGCAATACCCACCTTCCTGTTCTCGAGTTAGTCAAGGATTGATGATCCATGATGTTGCCGCGTTTTGTCCGACGGTGTCCGTGTCCGATGTGCTATGAGTAATTGCACAAAGCTCGGATGCTGGATGAAGTGTTGCTGGTGAGTGAGAGTGAGTGTTTGATTGGGTGTGTGAAGGTTCTCTGTCACTGAAGGCTCAAGCTATCTCTGTTCGCACACGCGGAGGACTGCCCATATCAACGACTGACTGTCTGTCTCGCGGATGGACACGCACAGATGAATCAACGAATCAACGAACGAACGACGAACGACGAATCGACGAACGGAGGAACGAACGAGCGGGTTGATGGACACACCTAGCTGCTGCTTATAGCAACTGGCCTGAGCCTGCCTGTTCGATGCGAATCAACACAGGGAGTTCGAAACAACGAAAAACGAACGAAACAACTGTCGACCTTTGTATGGTCGGTGTAGATGCCGTGAGTGGACGTGACGTTAAGCGGTGTGGCTGTAGTAACGGTCAACGGTCAGCGGCATGATGTAATCGAAGACACGCAGAGGTCCAAACGAAGGTCACAAACACAATACTGCACCACCATCACACCACACAAACAACACCAGCCACACACACCAGAGGTGAGGATGGACAGGATAGGTGTAGTGATAGGGGAGGGGTGGTGCGAGCAACGTACCGGTGGAGGTGTGGTGGTGTGCTCAACCCAAACGACCAACACACGACACGATCAACGACCAAACACCCTGCACCACCAGCCACACGCCCACAGAGAGAGAGAGATGGATGGTGTGTGCCACGCGATATGGCGTGTGTGTGGAGGTGACGTACCATATGTAATGGATGCGCACCCCGCAGTGAGTGTGTACCCGCCAGGCACCACGACACACGACAACCTGAACCACCGGAGGCACACAGTAAGGCGCTTTCAACGTCGGCCTGCTCTGTGTCGTGGCCCTTGGCGAGGCCCATGGCAACCCAGGCTGGCGCGGTGGCTGTCTTGACTCCCTTGGCCGCCTGCTGTCCCAGGACCGACAGGACGGGCCGCGGTCCAATCTCCATGACTATCTCACAAGCAAAGTCCCGAACGACTGTCTGGACGGCGCGGGCGAAGTGGACTCCCTTGATGATGTGCTCAGCCCAGTAAGTTGGTTGTCTGATCAGTTGCGCGTCGGCGACCTCTCCTGTGACAGTCGAGATGATCTGCATGTCTTCGGCAGGCGGCTGGAGCCCGGAGCTGAGCTTGCTGCAGATGATGTCGTTGAAGCGCTGGACAGTGTCGCTCATGAGAGGCGAGTGGAAGGCGTGCGAGACGGGCAGCAGCTGGAAGGCATTCTCCTTGTCGAGCCGCTTCATCGTCTCGAGCACCGCCGACGCCTCTCCTGACACCACCACGCTCCGAGGGCCGTTGACCGCTGCCACAGCGACGACAGGCTTGCTTTCGCCGCCCGACGACGTATCTGAAATGACGCCGCTCACATGCTCCACAGCCTCGCGGGTGTCCTTCTCCGCCGCCCGACAAGCCGCCATGACACCGCGACGAGAGCGAGACGCCTGCATCAGCGCAGCTCGCTGGGCTACCAGGCTCAGCCCGTCTTCCAGACAAAACACGCCAGCGACCGTCGCCGCGACATACTCGCCCAGGCTGTGACCAAGCAGGGCAGACGGACGACGGCCTTGCTGGTCGAGTATCATGGCCGTCAAAGCGTATTCGATGGCGAAGATGACAGGCTGTGCGAATTGTGTTTGGGCGAGGACGGCCGTGACCATGGGCAGGTGGACGTCCGAGGGGTTCAAGAGCATCTGCAGAGGGACAGGCAGATGGGGCGCCAGGACCTGGCCGCACCGGTCGATGGTCTCACGGAACAGCGGCTCCTTCAGATACAGCTCCTGGCCCATCCCCACACTGTGCGACCCTTGGCCCGTGAACATGAAGGCGACGCGACGGGCCGGAGACGCCTCGTTGGCGGTGGCCGCCTGATCAGCTGCCAGAGTGGACGCTGAGGCCGTCTTGGTGGCTGCGACGAGAGCTCTCGTGCCCTCCGGGACTTCCATGACGATGTGGGC